ATATATATATATATATATATATATATATTGATATATGTGTGTGTGTGTGTGTGTGCGCGCATGTTTATTTATATAGAAAATAAGATTAAATCATTATAGGTGAAAATTTTAAAGATCAAACCAGCGTTGTTTTCCACCGCGTAAGTCGCAACCCTTGTCAGCTGCCCTTTATTATTTACGGAATGAGCTGCAACAACAAGTCGACAACATTTACATCAATTTGCGTCTCAATAAATCCCTCCATAAAATCTAAACGACATAGTTCCATCTTTATTTCATATTTTCTTTCTTCCTCCTCAGCATGACCATCCTCCCCCCGTGTCCATCTACGTACTAGAAAGTTTCCAATATTTCCCAGGACAAAGTACGGCATGTGAACACTGCTACTACAGGACTTGGCACCTCGACCCGTATCTATTTACGTGCACGTGTTAGCTCGGATTTCCTGCTGGCACTAGAGGCTACGTCCTGGCATGAACATACTGGATAATAGACCGTATCGCTGCCTACATGGATACTATAGACCTTGAGCCTACCTGGACTAGTAGCCAGGATAGAAATAGGAAGGGGGAAGCGTCCATGTCATTCACCAAGAGATAATAGCAATAATAATAACGATGACAATGATAATAATAATAATAATAATAATAATAATAACAATAGCAATAATTATAATAATAACTATAACAATAATAATAATAATAACAATCATCATACTAACAATGCAAAGAAAATAATAATAACAATAACGATAGTTGTAGTAATAGTAGTACTAACAATGACAATTTAAAATAATAATAATAATAATGAAAATCTTTGTAGTAACAATGAAAATGATAATGGCAATTACATTAATAATAACAATGATGATAAAAGTAATGGCAACAATAGCAATAAGAATAACAATAATGATAATAATAATCACGCAACGATAATAAGAATAAGAATATTAATAATACTAATAGCAATAATATGGAAAAACAATTATGGCAATAAAAACTATAACAACAATCATAATGATAAAAAGGTAGTAATAACAATAACAAAACTAATAATGATAAGAATTATAATAATAATAACAATAATAATAATAATAATAATAATAATAATAATAATAACAAAAATAGTAATAATTATAACAATAATAAAGACTGCTAGAATAATAATGAAAAAAGGATAATGATAATAATAATCATAACAATAATCATAAATAAAAACCGATAATCGATATGGCAACAATAACAATGATAGCGGTAGCAGTAACAATAATAACAATAATAAAAGTGATAATAATAATAGTAATAGTAACAATAATAATAATAATAATAATAATAATAATGATGATGATGATGATGAATATATTGATAATGATAAAAAACTATGATCTTTATAATGATGATAACAAAAATAAAAAATAATAATTACAATGACAAAAAAATAACTATAATGATGATAATAAAAATAATAACAATAACAATAACGATAGAAATACATATCATAACAATACTATCATCATTATTGCTAACATTATCATTATTGTCATTATCATTACTATCTTTATCACTTTGATTACCATTACCATTATTATTGTTTTTAATATTATCATCATTATCATCATTATTACTATTACTACTATTTTCATTCTTATCTTTATTATCATTATCGTTATTTTTCTCATCAATATTATTATCATTGGTTATCATAGTAATAACCAAAATAGTAATATCAATAAGTAATATTAGCATTTGTAAAAATAGTAATTGCCATAATGATGATACTGATAATAACAATAACATCAATAACAATTATATAACCAACGATAATAATAAGATCAATAATGGAGACTACTATAAAAATATCAACAATAATGATGAATGTAGGATAAAATAATGATGCAATAACTGCAACAATCATAATACAATAGCAACACCAATATCATTATAAATAGGGAATGGCGATTATTAATCTAATCTATCTGCTCCAGGTACGAAAAGAAAAAAAATCACACTTGTTCAATATATAATTTCTCTCTCTCTCTCTCTCTCTCTCTCTCTCTCTCTCTCTCTCTCTCTCTCTCTCTCTCTCTCTCTCTCTCCTCTCTCTCCTCTCTCTCTCACTCTCACTCTCACTCTCTCTCACTCTCACTCTCACTCTCACTCTCACTCTCACTCTCACTCTCTCACTCTCACTCTCACTCTCACTCTCACTCTATATAACCTCTCTGTCTCTGTCTGTCTGTCTGTCTCTCTCTCTCTCTCTCTCTCTCTCTCTCTCTATATATATATATATATATATATATATATATATATATATATATATTTACATATATATATGTATATACATACACATATATATCATATACATGTGTGTGTGTGTGTGTGTGTGTGTGTGTGTGTGTGTGTGTGTGTGTGTGTGTGTGTGTGTGTGTGTGTGTGTGTGTGTGTGCATGATATACGTACTGTGTGTGTGTATATATACATACATATATATATATATATATATATATATATATATATATATATATATATATATATACTATATATATGTATATGTATATGTATATGTATATGTATATGTATATGTATATGTATATGTATATGTATATGTATATGTATATGTATATGTATATGTATATGTACATGTACATGTACATGTACATGTACATGTACATGTACATGTACATGTACATGTATATATATATATATATATATATATATATATATATATATATATATATATATATATATATATATTCATTCTCTCTCTCTCTAAATCGAAGGAAAATCCAGGTTAATTCCTGACTAACGTCATATTTAAAGGAACCGGAAGCATACCTCGGATTTGGTTATCTTATATGAGTAACAACTTCATATTGGGGTATTGTTTAATTTCTTGTGCTAAATCTAATACATCTGTAATATAATGAATTGAAGTCCAGTTCTGCTTGCTTACATGTATCATAGCCATTACACACACACACACACACACATTTGTGTGTGTGTGTGTGTGTGTGTGTGTGCGTATGTGTATGTGTGTGTGTGTGTGTGTGTGTGTGTGTGTGTGTGTGTGTGTGTGTGTGTGTGTGTGTGTGTGTGTGTGTGTGTGTGTATATGAAGAAAAATTATTATATTTCTGCTCTAAATAACTAAGCCATGAAAATAAAGTCTTGGAATAAAACGTACGGAAATTCACTTGCTTAAATTTCCAAGAAGGAAAGAAAAAGATCTTATATATCAAAAGCGTTAGATATATCTGCTGCAAAAAAATAGCCAGACAGATAGACGGATAACTGGACAAGATAAAAATACATAGATAAAAACAAATAATAATAATAAATCTATTTTACATACAAATCTTACGAATGACACTGATGTTAGTTTCAACATTAAGAAAAAGACCCGTTTGAATCAGGTTAAAATGTGCTTTGCAGACTTATTTGCTTAAAACCGTAAATTGCAGCTTCCATTTAACAATAGTTACATCCAACTAGTTTATTTCGAAAATGAAAGTTAGCTGAAACTACATCATCATCTGTTGATCACGTATAGATAGTTAAACTGTCTTACAAAGCTTGCTTGTGGATAAATCGGGGTTTATTAACTCATCTATTCAGTCTTCCATGCGTTACTCCGCTCCGTGCATGACCCCAGCCAGTCATTCTATCTGGTTAAGTTTCGATGTAATGTTATATCGCATTGTAAAACATAAACCTGCTGACCTTCAGTTCGTTTGCATGTACACTGAGCAGAATAAAATAACGGATATATTTATTCCGTCTGCCAAAGATATTCCTTTATGCTTAAACAATGTACATGTATATTCCCTGAGCGACCTATCCCTATCTCTCAGCATAAACCCTCGGTATACGCGGATCTGGCCCTACTTCCTCGTTCTCAGGCACTTCCTGTTCCCATACCATGCTAAATACAGAATCTCCCGTTCCTCCCTATCACAAAAGAATCCACCAGAATCCCCGGAGATTCCTTCTCCCCCTGCGGTGTTCTACGAGAAGAATTTCATTTATCTCTCCCTTTGGCCTTCCGTCTACCCTCCCTCGTTCTTTCGAGAAAACGGTGAACGTTGTAACTTCAACGGCAAGTTCCGAAATCAGAATTCTATGCATACAATGGGCAGTCCTCTGTACCAAGGCGCTGTGCGTTTATAATTCCTTCATGGAAATATTCCCCAAGGAATACTTAACATGGCCAGATTATCTGCGCCCGTTTCATTAGATATCCAATTTTGCAGACAAACAGGGTGATTGGATTTATGTGGAATAGCCAAAGACATGGTCTGTAATGCACGTTTTTTTCTTGGGGAAATGGTCTTAGGATCATACTTCTTTACACGACCAAAGAAACATATATCAGAATATGATTTTCGTCATGTTATGGCCATTCTCTGTATTTCCCTGTGCACACTATCGGCAGGAGATACCCGATACGGGCGCTGGTCCGCGGGTGTGCCGGTAGAGGGCCAGCGGGTATTTTTGGCTCGTGCCGGTGGGGGCAGGAACAGGAGGGTCGCCCCTCACCTCTCTGCCCCACACCAGGGGGGAGCGCTTTGGGTAATTCTATTATCAATGTATTCAAAACTTCTTTTGATTTTAGACCTCGAAGATCCTTTTGAATTAGAAGTTATAGTTGCTCTAATGAAAGCCCTGTCTCCCCTGATCCCTCGCCCATGGTGCACCTGCGCTCCCCGCCCCCACAGAGCGCCCGCACCCATTGCCTCGCACTTGTCCGCAGCCGCACTTTTCTCGCGTCTCTTTCGTTCACTTTTCCGTCTTTTCCTCTGTACTTTGGAAGTGGAAGCATTTTCCTTTTGCAAACCCTTCTCATTTGCACGCAAAGGTGTCGAAGCACCACGACCAGCAATCAAAGCTCTCACATAAGCTGCTGCGTGAACACTCATTTAAAGGGAAACACATGACACTTTAGCACCGCTGTTAGCTTGTTACAGCACAGACGAAGTAATATCCTGCGGAAGCTCAGGCCTACCTTCGCGGACAGTACGAGTCTGCACTTGAGTCTGCTGCTGTACTCTTGACTGCTGCATGCTGACACTGCTGCTTGTCTGCTGAGAGGAGACCTGCTGCCTCACCACCTGCTGTTGCTGCTGCTGCGACATTTTAACGGTGGTGGTCGAAGATTACACAAAGATACACTGGATGCTTCACCAAACACTGGTTGACTAGAGATGACTAGAACACACTGCAGTCAAGACGGGGTCGTGAACACTCGACTTGTGACACTGACTATTGGACTGCGAGCATAATAAAGCGGGAGATTATAATATGCTTGCGGCCCGTGAGTCAGGCAGCCCCATTTAGCACACCCTCGCCTCCGAAGTCGTCGGGGCGAAATGGTCTCGAGAGTCAACGGTGCCCCCTGCTTTGGCACTCGGTCACGATCGGCACCGCTCGGCTCCCGGTGCCACTTTTAGCTGTGACGTCACAGGGTGCTAGAGCCACCACCAGTTGGTGAAGTAACGCACAGGAGGATCCTCAGGCAAGGGCCGTGAACCACTGCCTTGGCCGAGCGATCACTTCCTTCGACCTCCCAAAACGAATTTGAAAAACCTGAGGATGCCTTTCCCAATGCGATACCAGAAGCGAAGGATAATCCAAATCAAGAAGCAGATCCTCCAACTAGAATCTTATCCTACTTCCGGTAAGGAGGGTCACGACCCAACTCAGGTCAGATGCTAGTTACGCGCGCCGAGGTACCTACCTTCCGGCGGCCGATATTTGATCCTGACCTCACTTTAATAACCCTTCCCAAGGGCGGCTCTTCTCAGTAAACGCCAGGAGTTAGCATCTCCAAAGGAAACGGAGGATCTGCGGCTGACAAAATAAATACGAGGACCTGACACTGGCTTACCTGCACGCGAGTTTAGAAAATTTAGAGGCAGTTACGTATATATATATATATATATATATATATATATATATATATATATATATATATATATATATATATGTGTGTGTGTGTGTGTGTAATGTGTCCGCATATATGCATATACAATATGAGGTTATAAATACATAATCATATGTCTGTGTACACACACACACACACACACACACACACACACACACACACACACACACACACACACACACACATATATATATATATATATATATATATATATATATATATATATATATATATATACTATATATATATATATATATATATATAATATATTATATATATATATATATATATATATATATGTATATATATATATATATATATATATATATATATATATATATATATATATGTATATATATATATATATATATATATATATATATATATATATATATATATATGTATATATATATATATATATATGTATATATATATATATATATATATATATATATATATATATATATATATATATATATATATATATATGTATATATATATATATATATATATATATATATATATATATGTATATATATATGTATATATATATATATATATATATATATATATATATATATATAGTGGTATATATATATATATATATATATATATATATATATATATATAGTATATATAAGACATATTACACACAATAGTGCCGTAAGTGTATTATCTTGAACCACACCAGCTTTATGCACAGAAGACTCCCTTACCTATAAATCATTTCCATAATAGAGATTTCTCAATTGTAAGGCAATTGGAGCACTTTACCTCAAAGAAGGAATAAATTATCTACTTCCATCATAAAGAGTCTGAAGTTCACAGGACCAACGAAACATCAGTCAGGGATTTATTCTTTTTATAATTCAGATTTTCCTTTAATCGTAGATTTCTCGTACTTACAGATTGGGTTCGATTAACGAAGGCGTTCCAGTTATTTTTCTGTAGTACTGACTTCTGTTGTGCATTCGAGATCGTCACACAAGGCTTCCGAGATATACGAACTGTTTTACTCGACCCAGAAACAGACTAGATGCAAAGATGACACTGCTCATTTCTTCAGCCTAGTTGTGCATCTTCAATTCACCCTATTGTTTTTTTTCTGAACTTCACTCAGTTATATGAAGAAAATATACATGCCTCCAAAGTGTTCAGAAAAAGATCACATAAACTAGGATAGAGCACAAAAACATTTCACACCTGCATTTGATTAAAACCTTTGCTAGGTTTATTTCTGATCGGATCTTTATTTTTTATATCCGTATTTATTTGCTTGCATTAGGATAAAGGTAAACATTGAATGTCTCAATGGAAAACTGTAGTCATAAAGTAAATAAGCCTATATTATACTTCCAAGTATGTCTCTACTTTGATTGCAATCCGTTCTGCATCTATTAATAAAATGATTATTTGCGTTTCGTTGAACTCTTGAATTTTCTATGTACAGATGCAGGGGGAGAATACATTTACTTGAAAGGCAGCTTGAAATGGCTTTCTTTATCTTGGACAAAAGTTCTGTATCTTCAATGCTACTTGATCTTAATGTCATCTTTATTTTCCTTTTATTCAACATTTACTTAGTTTCTTCACTATATTGATTAATTTATCAAGTTAATGTATGCATGAATATACTACTACGATACAATAGAATACATACATGCACACACACATGTATGGAGATACATGGTTTGTTTGTGTCAACAATACACACATACACACACTTGAAACGGACAGCAATATATTATATATGAAATGCAAATATATGTTGTGTTTTGTCTGTGTGTAGGTGTGTGTGTGATCTGGGTGCGACAAAATAGCTCACGCTTGTTTTGTTGTGTGTGTGTGTGTGTGTTGTCTTAACATTGTGCTACTTGATCTTACACCACACACGTATGTACATACATCTATCTTATAGTTATGTTATATATAGAGTATAACTATATTATATGTATACATATACTAACATATTAGTATATTTATTATATTCATATATATATAATATGTGTGTGTGTGTGTGACTTAATATATTGATGTGTTTGTAGTAATTTATTATCATTATATATAATATAATTAATATAATATGCACACATATCACACACACTTATATACATATATAATTATATATAGAATATATACACTCATATGATACATGGCTGATATGATTGTACACACAACATACATACATACAATATATATACACACATATATATACATTTTATATATATATATATAATATACATATAATTTATATATTATTTTTATATAATATATAAATATCTATTGTGTGTGTGTGTGTGTGTGGTGTGTGTGTGTTGTTGTGTGTGTGTGTGATGGCTAAGAATGTGTTCTGTGCTTAATGTGTGTGAATAATCTCACTTATACGCATGGATATACATACATACATACATGTATGTATGTGTGTACAACTATAAGCATTTTGTATGTACAATTCATCTATTTCTGTATTAATGTACAAATTCTAAAAGGTGCACCAACAAATTCTCCTTCACAGACATGACCGCATGACACCAAAATACACCTCACTCATTCACAAATCGCGTCCCATTCTAAGCCAGCGTAAGACCATTTCCCGGCTGGCCGCTTCCAGAAGGACGGCGTCGGCGCGGCGCGATAAGAGGTCTATTTTGACCGCCGATGTCATTTCGTAAGCATGTTTCGTAAGCGAGGCGCCGGTTTATCGAATAATATCCGTATTGTTTATTTTTACATGGAATGCTGAAAGTTTGCGTCTGTGACTCACGTGGCAATTCTGAATGTCTGACATAATGACTCTTGCGCAGAGTCCCGAGCATAAAAATGTCATGTCTGAGAGTATGATTTTTCCATAACGCCAGTAAAATCATTTGGCTTATATCTGGATAATAAATCCAAATCAATCTTTATATATATCCCATTTTGCCATCGAATACCATCAATTTTTCCTTATTTTTATCATATATGATATATTCATATATATATTATATATATATATATATATTATATTATATAGATAGAATATATATAATGTGGAGTATTTGGGTGTGTGTGTTGTGTATGTGTGTATATGTTGGTGTGCGGGTCTAATAGTGGTGTGTAGTGTGTTGTTGTGCTTGCTGTGTCTTGTGGTATGCGGGAGTGTTGGTCTGTGTGGTGGTTTTGTGTGTGGTGGTGGTGTTATATGTTTTGGTTGAGTAATGTGTGTCTGTGTAGTGTGTGTGATGTGTGGTTGTTGGTGTGTGTGTGTGCGTGTGTGTGTGGCTGTGTGTGTGTGTGTGGGTGTTTGTGTGGTGTGTGTGTTGTGTGTTGTGTGTGTGTGCATAAGAGAAGTATTTATTTGTGTGTTGGAGTTACGTTCCAATGGGCTTTTGTGTGGAAGTATTTGTGATGTGTGTGGGTGATGTAGTGTTAAAATAACATTTAATATATATATATAATAATTTATGTATCTGTAATATATATATATATTATATATATATGGTATATATTATAATATATATATATTATAGTGATATATAATATTTGGATTTTTTTACTATTATTGATTTTTTCTTATCACTATCTTAGCATGTAATACCAGAACATCATTATTTTCATCTTATGGTAGGAAAGCCTACATTATACAACTATTTTGTGCAATGTGGGGTTTCGACCATAGTTTCAACACGGCAGTGTTTTACCTTTCAGCTTTTCCTTAATCATTTCTAATCGTATTTAAATGACATTGTCTCTGTAGGTGTTGAGTGTTTCTTGAATTTGTGAAGGAACTACATGTTTTAACAAACTGGCATTCCACTACATGAAGTGGTATATAATAGGTACAAAATCATGGCGAGAGATCTTCATGCGTATTTGTTTGGGACAGATTATAGTACATTTCCAAAGTACTCCAACCGCAATTTCCTTGGTCGCTGTAGGTCCAAGTAAAAGATGGGAAAACGTTTTGCTTTCAGTCCATCAAAGTTTATTCGATTCCGCGGAAATTTGCGCACATAACCTGATTTTTTTTGCACAGATCTTTGATACCATTTTAGAGCTCGGCTAAAGTAAAATAATTTACCGATTTAGTGTGCAAATACCTGCGAACTTTGAAGTGCTTGAATAAATCGAAGGATATTGTTATGTAGTCTTTCCTTCGATGGCCGACATTGATTTCACTTCCTTGTTCTTACCTAAAGACTTCGACCAGGATTTAGGTAACCAGTAGCAACCGTCTCTCACAGACTACCTCACTCGCCCCTTACCCATCCCCCAACCCTCCCCACCCCACACGAACCACCTCCTGCACCCCCGCAGCTTAAACACAGTCTCGTTGCTTTCTTTGCCTTGTTTGCAGGATCTTTCGCGGCCTTTCCTCAAGGACAGTTTCTTAATCCTTGGGCGACTCCTCAGAGAACATAACAGTCATGGTCAAGACTGTAATTCCAAGTTATATAATGAT